CCCTTCTCCTTCACTCCAGCCTTTCTCTCAACACTCCATCCCTTGGAATGGTGCTCATAGCTCAGTGGCTGGACAGGTTCACATTGTAGGAGGAATGGGCCAGCAGTCTGCTGTTGGGAGGAGATGTCAGAGGAGAGAAGAGGAAAGGACAGTTGTCTTCTAAATATTCCCATCCCGTGAGGGGGCCAGTGCTTGGGCCAATGCCAGGTGCATGCATGCAGACACACACACACACACACACACACACACACACACACACAGAATTTGTACACCCCATAAGCAGAGAGAAAGTCTAGAACCTTTCATCTCTGAGGTGCTGTGGATGCCCAGGTCAGGAGGGTATCCTGGAGCTGTGTCCCCCAGGAGCAGGGGAGAACCAGTGGAGGAAAAGCAGACTGGCAACTCACCTTATAGTCATGTGCCTTCTGAAAGTTCCCCAGAAGACTGCCCAGGAAGGCAATTACCATGGAAATGATAAGAGTGGAAAGGGAAAAGATGGTGATGCTGTGGAGTGAACCTGCCAACGAGAAGAAAAGGGGCTCAGTGCTTGAGGATGAGGGCTGTGGGCGGGGGTCTGCCGGCTGAGACACCACCCTAACTGACAGGTGCCTGGGGTCCACCTCGTACCTCTGCAGGGGCTTCAAGCCTGGAGCAGAGAGTCTCTTGCCTAATTTTCCTCCTAACAACTGGAATCAATGAGCCTGATACAATGACATCATGCTTCAGTACTATTTGACCAGTTTAGAGCTTGGCATCTTGTGGATTCCATGAAAAACATTTAATTGACTTAAGTATCCACTTAAATGCCCATTAAACATGTCCTTCTCCACCCATCCGTTACCTCCCCATCACAGTCCCCGGGAAGTAGCTTTGAGTTACTCATTTGTGCCATTGCCCCCAAACACTATCTCTGATCCACACCTTTCCTTGGGAGCGTGCACAGTTAGCTGTGCTAATGGCACTGAAAAGCAACCCCGTATTTAAGTCACTTGTGTTTTACTTGGCGCTATTTGGTACCTTTTTTAGGGTAGCAGTTTTCCTAACTACGTAAATATTAAACATCGGTCTTTACAGTCAGAGGTTACTGCAGAACGATGCTTATTATCATGTTTTTGTAATAGCAAAAACGGTAAACAACACTGATATCCAACAGCGAAGAACTGACTAAAACTGAGAGTTTAGTGCAGCCATTAAACGGCGTGTGCTTAAACAGTATTTTAATAACACAGGAGACGGCTCAGAACACAATGGTCAGGGGAGAAACTCAGGATACAGGACTGAATGTTATAAAACAAATATCACAGTTTTGAAAAGTGGTAACAAGCCGATAAACTCCCTCCCTCCCCAAAATATGTGCACAGAATGAGCATTTTTTCTAATAAACAGGTAGTCCCTCA